TGGGACTACAGGCATGTGCCACCATGCCCAGCTAATTTTTTTTTTATATATATATTTTTAGTTGTCCAGCTAATCTCTTTCTATTTTTAGTAGAGACGAGGTCTCGCTCTTGCTCAGGCTAGTCTTGAACTCCTGACCTTCAGTGATCCTCCGGCCTCGGCCTCCCAGAATGCTAGGATTACAGGCGTGAGCCACCGCACCCGGTCTATATATACTGTTTACTCAATACACAGTATACTCAATATACTCTTATTGCTGTATATCAGATACAGCTGTTAATAAAATTTCATTCAAGTAAAACAATTTCATCAGCAGTCCTGAAGATAAATTATCCAGTCTTTATTAATACTAACTACATTTTTTTTCTTTTTTTCCATTCACCACTGATCAGAAGGCATATATTTTGTTTTTTAAAGTTTTTTTCAAATTTCTCTACATTTCTAAGTTATTACAAGTATTTTTTCCCCAAGAAACATACTAAAACATGTATGACCACTCAGCCTTATATAAGACAAAAATTAAGTTGATGAATAGCTGATATCTTTTTAGCAGTATTTAGCTTTCTCTACCATTTCAGCAAGCAGAGAAAGACTATAGCTCAGGACCTTCGAACACTCACCTTATACTTCTCTTTATTTATCAGATAGAGAATCTACAAGAATATAATCGTGGGTCCAGTTTGGCATTTGCTTCTGGAAATTTGCTTAATTTCTACATATTAAATATGCAAGAAAAATACTGCATCTTGTGAAGTCTGATCATCACAAAGCATCCTGAAAGTGGGATTTTTATTTTGTTCTGATCAAGAGGAGTTTGTAAAATAGTTTATTGCAGTTCCATTAGTATGGGCTCCAAACTGAAAAGGAGCACCCTGCTCTATTACTTCAAATGTTTCCAAAATTTTTTTAAATATAACAATGTAAAGGAGAGAGTTATATAAACATATACCTGAACCAAAGTTATAGTATTAAACTTTGCATTACTTCACTTTGTATCAGTTAAGTCAAATTTTACTAATAAAATGAACTTTTTCCTTGAGACTATTTTTTTTAATATCAGCTTATAGGACAATTGAATCTGCAGAATTAAAATTGTAAACATTACTTTTAAAGGGCATAGATTTTTCTTTCAGAAGAGTTTAGAATATTGAAATACTGTATCCCGCTGTTAAATTATTAACCCGACTTTTATTTCCTTAAATCAAAGGCACTCTATCTTCACTACTACATTTCTATTAAAACTTCTTGAATTTACATTACATGCCACTACTTGGTTCTAAACTGGGTCACAGAAACAGTATGTGATATATATTACATATATATATTCATTTTCTTGATCATCCCTAACCATGAATCATTTAAGCTTCAACCTATAATCAACCCAGGTAATGCAATTACTTAAAATGACTATATCATTTGAAGTACTTCAAAAAGACAAAAAAAAGAATATTTTGAATCATTATCATTTAGACCAATTCAATCCACTGCATTTTCAAAGAACTTTTAAGTATTTCTAAATTACTTAATATTTCTAATCATTACAACATGAGGGCCAGGTGCAGTGGCTCACACCTGTAATCCTAATACTCTGAGAGGCTGAGGCAGGAGGATCACTTGAGGCCAGAAGTTAAAGACAAGCCTAGGCAACATAGTGAGACCCCATCCCTTTTTTTTTTTGAGACGGAGTCTCACTCTCTTGCCTGGGCTAGAGTGCCATGGCGTCAGCCTAGCTCACAGCAACCTCAAACTCCTGGGCCCAAGCGATCCTCCTGCCTCAGCCTCCCGGGTAGCTGGGACTACAGGCATGCGCCACCATGCCCAGCTAATTTTTTCTATATATATTTTCAGTTGTCTAGCTAATTTCTTTCTATTTTTTTTTTTTAGTAGAGACGGGGTCTTGCTCTTGCTCAGGCTGGTCTCGAACTCCTGAGCTCAAGCAATCCTCCCGCCTCAGCCTCCCAGAGTGCTAGGATTACAGGCGTGAGCCACCGCGCCTGGCAGAGACCCCATTTCTTAAAAAAAAAAAATACCATCTATCTGCTGACAACTCCTAAATATATACAGCCCTGCAACCTCGCTCCTGAACTCTAGGTTTGTACATCAAACTGATCTACTTAATATCGCCACTTGAACATCTTATACGTATCTCAATCTTAAAATGTTCAAAATCAACAATGCTCATCTCTAGTCTTCTCCATCACACCTAAGAGCAATTCCATCCTTCCTATTGCTTCGGCCAAAAAAACAGAAGTCATCCTTGACTTTTTTCTTTCTCACTCCACATCTAATCTGCTGCAAATCAAAATACATATGGAATCTGACCATTTTTCATCCACTTCTACTGCAACCATCTTCATCCAAGCCACATCATTTCTCTTAGACTACTATAATATTCTTGTAAGTAGTCCCCCTGCTTCTGCCCTTGGCTATCTTCAGTCTATTCTTATCCAGCAGCCAGAATGAACCCGTTATAACCTAGATCAGATAACATCATGTCTTTACTGAAACCTCTCCAGTGGTTTCCCATATCTCCCAGAGGGAAAGCCAAACTCATCAGAATTAACTAAAAGACCCCATATGATTGGACTTCCTGAACTCTCTGATGTCATTTTCTTCTACTCTCTTCTAGTCACACTAGCCTCTCTGCTGTTCCTTGAACATATTACGCAAACCCCATCTGAAGGTCTTTGCACTTGCTTTTTCTTTTGCTTGGAAAGCTCTTCTCCCAGACAGCCACATTAACTCACGCTTTCCACTCCACCAGGTTTTTATTTGAAAGTCCCCTTTTCAGAGTGGGATTTTCCCTCACAATGTTAGATATTAAATTGCAATACTATAGGTATTAAAATTGCAACCACTAGGCACACCAGAACCACCTTTTTTGCTTTTGCTTTATTTTTCTCCACTTAACCATAATCTAACACAATATACATTTTGTTTATTGTCTATCTCTCCATACTCCGTGAAGGCAAAAATTTTTGCATGTTTTGTTAACTGCTATATCCCCAGTGCATAGAAAATAGCTTGGTACATAGTAGGCACTCAACGAATATTTATTGAGTAAATAAAAGAAACGAGAAGAAAGAATCAGAATAAGAAAGGAGATAGAAAATTTGGGCCTTCATATTTCCTTAAAGATTCATGTATTTATGTATGTATTATTTTTAATTCAACAAGCAGACCAGCAGTAATGACATACAATTAGGTATCTAAGTAATAAAGGGGATTATAACCTTTTAAGGTTCCTGGAATCTACAGTATTCTATGAGTCTTTAAGACATTTATAACTTGAATTTTTCTTTTATTAAAATAAAAAATGAGTACATTTGGATTGTGTTTTCTAAAATCCCTGGGTCACCTGATCCTTTTCTCCTATCTTGTTAGTTCCCTATTCCCAGATATAGTTCTAAAAACCTGGCTTCATTTTAATAATTTTCAGCAGCAAGGTGTGAGTGAAGTAGGTAAGAAAAATTAGTAGATTTAAAGGACCGTATAAAACTTCTACAAGGTTTATACCATATATTCAAGCATTCCCTAACTGGTACTTAATTCTTTGTCTTTCAGTAAAGAGAATTTTTTAATTAAATACTTCAAAGTTCAGAAGAAATCGTTACAAACATTTTAACAGCTGCCAGAATTCTTTTATAAGGCACCTAGCTCATTACCATGGCTACATTCTTGGCTGTGCTCCCTACAGTCAAATTTCTGAAAATATCTCATAGGAAATGACAAATATACTATATGATAAAGTTTCAAAACCTCTTTCCAAGCATCAGCATCCTAGCCAGTATCATTTGGTCCAATAAGCTAGCTCTCATTAATATTAAACTAACACACAAACCTACACATCTACCATCTTGTTTCAGTTCAACAAAGCAGCTGATTTTCAAGATATTTGTATCTAGATACTCTGATCCTAAATATACATGGCAGAAATATATTTTTCTTCTGTGAATCATTTTCCCCCTCCACAAATACCACACAATCCCTAACTTATATAACATAATAGATGATGCCAATACAGTCTAACAATTAAGAAGGTGGTTTTGAAGTCACACTTGAATTTGGATTCCAGTTCTCCCATGATCTGGCTGCATTTCTGTGGGCAAGTTTCATGTACACGAATTCCCTAAACTTGACAGGGATCATTGTAAGGATTAAATGAAACCCACAGGAACCAATCAGTATACTACAGGATACTAGGTAAACACTCACTAAACATTCGCTATTGTTATTGCAGTGTCTTCAAAAGGAACTCTAGGATAACCATCAAAACTTTATAGTCTCTGTACGTCCCATGTCTCACACAGTCTTTAATCTTTCTTCATGTGAATATAAATGAAGGCTCCTTTCTTTTTATTCTTGTTGCCTGGACTTGCCAGATCCTGATAATTTTTAATCTGGATTATTGTAATTTCATTCTTACAGAACTACTTTCCTCCAGCACTTTTCCTACTCCTTTTCTTAACCTAATTCAGTAAGCTTCTAGTCACTTTAAGGATCTTTGAATCATGTCCAAGATCTCATTTTCTACTTCGACATTAGTACTTTTCAAGTATCCACTATCTGGCACTGGGCTAGGTACTGGGGACCCAACTGCAAACAAAACTGGCACAAAGTCTGGTATAAGCTTTATACTGAAGAATTTGAGTAACATTTCTTCCTATGTCCTACATTTCAAATCATCTCATGAGTCAAGTTTCTTTAGAGCTACCTGCATCATAGCAGAAAAGACAATATCAACATTGCAATAAAGTACCATAGTCAAGTATGACGTTTGCAGTCAAATCTTCTGAAATACTACCCTTACTAGCTATGTGATCTTGGGCAAGTTACTTCCTCTCTCTACATGCCTCACTAGTAAAATGGGCATAATAATACCACATCATATGGTTATTACATACATTGAATGAGAAAATAAATATAATCTCCTTTGAGCTATTTTTCCCACCTAGTAATAGCAATTTATTATTATTACTATTATTCTTTATTCCCCTTTCCAAACTTCTTCAAAGTGGTATCCTATGGTCACTATACCCACCTCTAACTTTGTACAATTCCTAAGTCTTCTCTTTTTTTCCTTCAAGTTTTATATTCTTTGATTTGTAGATCATACTAACACAGCTATTTATTCGGACATCAAGTATTAAATAGATCTTTTCTAAGTTATCTTGGTTGTGTTTTTTACTATGTAATTTAAGTATTTAAAGTGCACTTTTACTATTTCCTAGAAAATAGATGTTCCAAACAACACAGCACCTACTTAGAACCAACACTTAAGGCCTACATAGGCCCTACTATGGAATATGGCGACTTAACATAAAATGAGATCACTACTGAAACCAACTAAAATTGGGCTTATTGAACTACAATGTTTTTTATTGGCTAGGAATATGAAATCTATTTAGTTTCTAATAATTAGTCATTACATATTAAATTTTATTAACTCTATATTTCTGGACAAGTTTACAACACTACAATTGACAAATACAGCTTCCAACCAAATTCACAGCACTCACTTATATATAAATGAGTAAACACAATTTAAAGTTTTACTTACTCAAATTCTGTAGCATAATATTTAAGAAAGCCCAGTAAGAGTTCCCCAAGATTTGATTCATTATTTGAGAGGTAAGGAGGAACATTACATGGAGCTTGATGTACAAGGTGCAGCTGTATAGCGGGACTAAAAGACTCCTGTCAAAGAGAAAAAGTCAAAAAATGTAAAGCCATTTAAAACACACACTAAGAAACTTTATAAATCCTTATCTAGGCTCTCTGAAGAAGAGAGAAGAAATTTTCTCTATGTCGCCAATTTCAAAACTTAAAGATTTTCTTCCATCAAAGATTTTACCAGTATTTGCAACAGGCCACAATATATCTAAAAAACTAAGATATTTTAATTCTTGGTTTTAGTATATCACTAAGTTAACCAAATAGATCCCTATGGTAGTAAAAGGTTTTCTAAGTCATAAATAAAACCTTACTACACATACCAAGATTCCATCCAACAACATATAAATTTCTTCATAAATATATCTAATTCTTATTTCTAAAAGTTGTACTTTACGTATGAAGGATATATCAAACATAAGGTTATGAGCATTTTCTAACTACCACTTAAAACTTCTCTCAAAGGCCATAACAGTAACTTTAATATATGAATAGTAGTACTCATACTAATTTTAAGATTTTAAGTTTTGCTTTGTTTTTGTATTTTGTATCTTAGAGGGAACAGAAGATAAATGTTCAACCTGAATTAAATGTGAATAGACAAAGAAGGCAGGGAGAAGAAGACAGGAAACATATCAACAAGCAATATTCAGCAAACTTTTACCATAATATTTATAAAGGAGGATATTATTTGCTTGCAGTAGAGGCACAAAGACATTTAATACAAAGAACACTAATGGGTACTTATTCTTTATGCCTATGCCATTCATTTTTCAGATCTGATCTTTCCTCTGTTAACAGCAAGTTAATTTTGCATATTTCTAGCTCTGAAATATACAAAATGAACTACAGAGATTCTCAAGTAACATATATCAATAAGTTAGAAAATAATCTTTCTAAGGTAATATGCACAGTACCATCAAAAATGATTTTCTATTATTTTCCCATTGCCATCAGGGAAGAAATGAATTTTTTTAAAAAAGCAATTGGTTAAGGCAAGCAGAATGACAACTACAGTTAAAGTTCCCAACTATCTAAGAAATCAACCTTGGGTTTACAGAAAACAATTTAATTAAAGACATCTAAATAAGTCCAAGTTGAAAAATAAAGACTGGTACCAGAGAGAAACAGGGTAGTGCATCATTTCATGCTAGTCCCAAAAAACCATCAGTAAAAACAAAGGAGCAAGAAATGAAAATATCCCTTCCCTTGCCCTCTTACCTGTAATTCTATCTATAATTTTTAACTACCAAGAAGTGATTATATTTCTCTCAGAATAAAAACTCTATTTTGACCAAATTCATAAAGCTGGCACTCCTAAACTTAGCACTTCTCCTTACATTTCTAACAGCTGTAGTATTAATCACATTATAAAACTCAAGTAGAAATTTTAAATCTAATGTAAGACTGAGGGGTGGCGAAAAAGTAGAAGAGAAATCACAATTTGCAATAAAGAGTAAAGGCAGAAGGAAGAATAACAGATGAACTGCCTCTACCCTCTTTGTCTATTTTTTTTTTTTTTTTTTTTTGAGACAGAGTCTCACTCTGTTGCCCTGGCTAGAGTGAGTGCCGTGGCATCAGCCTAGCTCACAGCAACCTCAAACTCCTGGGCTCAAGAAATCCTTCTGCCTCAGCCTCCCAAGTAGCTGGGACTACAGGCATGCGCCACCATGCCCGGCTCATTTTTTCTATATATTTTTAGTTGTCCAGATAATTTCTTTCTATTTTTTTTTAGTAGAGACAGGGTCTCGCTCTTGCTCAGGCTGGTCTCAAACTCCTGAGCTCAAAAAATCCACCTGCCTCGGCCTCCCAGAGTGCTAGGATTACAGGCGTGAGCCACCAAGCCCAACTAACATTATTTAAAATTATAAAATTTAAATGTTATTCTCTGGAAAATCAAACAAAACGCATAATGCAGATCAAATAATAAGGAAAGTAAGTCATTTTAATAGCTTCTGCTCTGAAAGCTTCTTACTAATTTTGATTCCTAGAACCTAGCATAATAAGCATTAAATTTATGAACTGATGCTAAAAAAGAAGTCATTTTCTTACCTGGAGTTTAAAACTGTTTGCAACTTTTTAAAATCTGTATTTTGTTCAATAATTTAAAGAAAAAGATCAGCAATTGTGACATTAAAACCAAAGAGTTGTGAAATCTAGTCTGTTAAAATGCTAAATGATCTTGGACCAACAATTTGCCACTCTCCTCTTAGCTCTACTGTTCTTTTTCATGGTAATATTAAAAAAAGGGGTCATATCATCCTTACTGAGGGAGAAATGAAGGAGAAATCCAAACCTAAAATGAAAAAGATTAGGATGCACCTAAAAGAAGTTACAAGTAAACAGGAATTCCATCTATCCTTAAGAAATCCCTAGTTGTTAGTAATCATTCACATTACAGAAAGATTCTCTGCTTTAAGACTTCTACAAAGAATTTCTTTTAAAGGGAAATCCTCCAATGCAGTTACGTGTTTAAGAAAAATACATGCTACTTCAGATAGGATAATAGGTGCAGAACTTAAACTAACATTTTAGAAAGCACATAAAGAGCAACCCAAAAGTCAAAGAGAAAAAAAGCAGTCTTAAAATTGCAAAGTCAGGCCTGGCGCAGTGGCTCATGCCTATAATCCTATTGCTCTGGGATGCCAAGGCAGGTGGATTGCTTTGGATTGCTTGGGCTCAGGAGTTCAAGACCAGCCTGAGGAAAAGCAAAATCCTGTTTCAATTGAAATCAGAAAAAATTAGCCAGGTATGGTGGCGCACACCTGTAGTCCCAGCTACTTAGGAGGCTGGGGCAGGAGGATCACTTGAGCCCAGGAGTTTGAGGTTGCTGTGAGTTAGGCTGATGCCACTGCACTGTACCCAGGGTGACAAAGTGAGACTGTCTCCAAAAAAAAAAAACTGCAAGTCAAGTGCATGGAAAAGCAATTTAACTGATAACATCTATTTCTTTAATAAACGAATTTTTAGATTACCAATATTATTGCTGTTTGATCATTCAAATAAAGGGAAGTTTTTTTTTTTTCTGAGACAGTCTCACTCTGTTGCCCAGGCTAGAGTGCAGTGGTGGCACCACAGTTCAATCTCCTGGGCTCAAGTGATCCTCCTGCCTCAGCCTCCCAAGTAGCTGGGACTATAAGTGCATGCCACTGTACCCCGCTAACTTTTCTATTTTTAGTAGATGGGGTCTCACTCTTGCGCAGTATGGTCTTGAACTCTTGAGCTCAAGCGATCCTCCCTCCTCGGCCTCCCAGAGTGCTAGGATAACAGGAGTGAGCCACCGCACCCGGCCTGATATCTTATTAATATTTTGAGCTTCTAATAACCAAATGATATTTAAATACGTTGATATTTTTGAAGATACATAATCTTTTGTTTCTCTTCAATGTCATCAAGTTAAAAAAATTTAAATAGAAAATCCCTTGAAAATATCTGAAAGTCCTACTGCTTTTGTCCATACAATTGCCTGCCAAAAATGGCAAAAACATCTTTTGCCAGATTCCATCATTTTTCTGTGGCTATATCATAATATCTTACTTTACCTTCAAAGTTTAAAATTTGGACAATTAAGCACTTTTTGGAATAAGTTAGACTGGCTAAACTTCTATGTGGTAACTGTTCTTTAAAACAATACAAGACTTAAACAAAAAATGACGACTTTCAATCTCCAGGCAAACAAATTTAAGTTGCATAATTTCCTAACAGTATGAATTCTTGAACCCTAGAAATAAATGTTGAGGAAAGTCCCAAAGAAAAGGAAAACTGAAATGGAATGTTCTGCCTGAATAGACAAAGAACTGAGTGATATGTTGAAGTTCCTGCCAAGCTATCTTAATTGCATGCAGGTCACCACTAATCTGGTGATGTATGTTAAAAATTAATCACTAAATTTCCTTTAAATTTATCTTATTTTAGTACATTTTAAAAGTTTTGAAATCAACATAAGTATCTAACATAAAATAGAGGTACTATAATGAAGTGGCTGAGAGCATGGGCTTTGAAGTCAGACCTATGTTTGAAACATCGTCCTTCTATTAGCTGTGTGAACTTAAGTTACCTACCTTTCCTCAGCTTGTTCACTTATAATAATAGTACTTATACGATTGTTATAAGGACTTATTATTTAGTATATGCCACACATCATTATTCCTCTGTCACCCAGACTGCTGGAGTGCAGTGGCCTGATCACAGCTCACTGTAACCTCAAACTCCTGGGCTCAAGAGAATCTCCCACCTTAGCCTTACCAGGACCTGGGACTATAGCGCATGCCAACATGCCTACCTAATTTTTTTGTTTTTTGTAGAGACTGCATCTCGTTATGTTGCTCAGGCTAGTCTCGAACTCCTGGCCTCTAGCGATCTTCCTACCTTAGGCCTTCAAAAGTGCTAGGAATACAGGCATAAGCCACCGTGGCCAGCCTAGATAATTAATCCCTTCATCGTGTTATATGCATTTTAAAACGGAAAAAAGTTGCTATATGTGTGTATAGTCGTCCCTAGGTATCCTGGCAGGGAGGTGGTTAAATTGATTCCAGGGCCCCCAAGGATGCTAAAGTTCCCTATATATAAAATGGCATAATATTTGCATATAACTCACCCACACCCTCTGATATACTTTAAATCATCTCTAGATTATTTATAATACCTAATATAACATAAACACTATGTGAATAGTTGCTACACAGTATTTTTATTTGTATTTTTTATTGTTGCATTATTATTTCTTATTGTTTTCTCCCGAATATTTCTGATCCACATTAGGTTGAGTCCAAGAATGCACAACCCACAGATAGAAGGGCAACAGGCATATCTCATTTTATTGTACTTGGCTTTATTGTGTTCTGCAGATATCGCATTTTTTACAAATTAAAGGAGTGTGACAACCCTGTATCAAGCAATCTATCACCACCATTATTTCAACAACATGTGCTCACTTAGTGTCTCTGTCCACATTTTGGTAATTCTTGCAATATTCCAAATATTTTTATTATTATTATATCTGTTATGCTGAACTTTGATATTACTATTGTAATTACTTTGGGGTGCCACAAACCACATCCATATAAGAATGGCAAACTTAATAAATGTTGTATATTCTGACTGTAACACCAACCAACTGTTCCCAGTCTCTCTCCCTCTCAGATTTCCCTATTCCTTGAGACACAATATTGAAGCTAGTCTGATTAATAACCCTACAATGGCCTCTAAATATTCAAGTGAAAGGAAAAGTCACACATCCCTCACTTTAAATCAAAAGCTAGAAATGACTGGGCTTAGTGACGAAGGCATGCAGAAAGCCAAGACAGGCCAAAAGCTAGGCCTCTGCCTCAGTTAGCCAAGTTGTTAATGAAAAGGAAAAGTTCTTGAAGAAAATTACAAGTGCTATTCCAGTGAACACACAAATATTAAGAAAGCAGAAGAGTCTTATTGCTGATATGGAGAAAGTTTTAGTGGTCTGGATAGAAGATCAAACCAGCCACAACATTCCCTTAAGACAAAAGCTAATCCAGAGCTAGGTCCTAACTCTCTTAAATTCATTGAAGGCTGAGAGACGTAAGGAAGCTGCAGAAAAGTTTGAAGCTAGCACAGGTTGGTTACAAGGTTTAAGGAAAGAAGTTATTTCCCTAACATAAAAGCACAAGGTGAAGCAGAAAATGCTGATGTAGAAGATGCAACAAATTATCCAGAAGACCTAGCTAAGATAACTGATGAAAGTAGCAACACTGCACAACAGATTTTCACTGTAGACAAAACAGCCTTCTATTGGAAGATGCCATCTAGGACTTCCGTAGCTAAAGAGGAAAAGTCAATGCCTGGCTTCAAAGGACAGGCTGACTCTACTGTTAGGGGTTAACGCAGCTGGTGATTTTAAGTTGAAGCCAATGCTCATTCACCATTCTGAAAATCCTAGGGCCCTTAAGAATTATGCTAAAGCTACTCTGCATGTGCTCTAGAAAGGGAACAACAAAGCCAGGATGACAGTATATCTGTTTATAGCATGGTTTACCGAATATTTTAAGCTCTCTGTTGAGACTCAATGCTCAGAAAAAAACATTTGTTTTTCTTTTTGTATTTAGAGTCTCCCTCTGTTGCCCAGGCTGAAGTGCAGTGGCATAATCATAGCTCACTGTAGCCTCAAACTCCTAGGCTCAAGTGATCCTCCCGGCTTAGCGGCTTAGCTTCCCAAGTACCAGGGACCACAGGCATATATGCTAACATGCCCAGCTAATTTTATTTGTTTTTTTAGAGACAAGGTCTCACTATGTTGCCTAGGCTACTCTCAAACCCCTGGCCTCCAGCAATCCTCCTGCCTCAGCCTCCTGAGTAGTTGGAATTACCAACATGAACCATCATGCCAAGCTACAAGGCTGTTTTATAGTTAACGTTTTTTAAATTAAGTAGGAGTATACTCTAAAATAATGATAAAATTATAGAACAGTAAAAACTAGGCAAAAGGAATTTTTCAGCTCCATTATACACTTACGGGACCTCTGTCGTAAATGTGGCCCGTCACTGACCGAAACATCATTATTTGGCACATAACTATATATGTATATATGTAAAATTTAAGGTGTTTTTAACATATAACTACACAAAAGAGCTCTACATTCTTAGAATTCTTTATTTCATAACTATAAAAGAGAGAGTTATTTTCTTACATTCTGTGAACATAAATGGCTTCCTAGAATACCAAGATACTGTTAGGGAAGGAAATAAACAACTAAAAAACATAAGTTATCTTAATAACTCTACCTAACATAAATCTAAGTAAACCTCATAATAACATGTTTGCATTAAAATAAAGATCCCTTCATAAGTTTAACCTCAGTTTATAAATTTAAACATTCTCAGCTTCGTTTAACTCAATAGTAAATACTCTGCCCTCTATCACTTACATAATTTTTAAGTCAATAAAAATTAAGTAGTAATAATCAATAATTCCATACTATAATATAGCTTTTAGAGATAATGATGTTTATAGCCTTGTATCCCTTTCTTTCACATTTAATATCACAACTGAATTGAAACACACCAACTTTTGTTGGTATGTTAAATATTTTAACATAAATTTTGAGAAAATAAGAAAATTACTAAAAAGGGCATAATATACTAGGCAACAAATTTATTCCATTCCAAAACTGTTTTCTGTTGTTTTAAAAATAAAACCCTACTTTATATTAGCTCGAATTTAAAAGAACCTGTGGCTTCCTTTGCAAAGTTGTTTGTGTTACTATAAAATTTTAAATCATTCCCAAACTTATTTATACAAGCCGAAATTTTGCCATATCTGCTTTCCTTAAATAAAGGTGTATCTCTATGAGAACAATCAGATGTACATAAATAAAATGTAATAAACAGAAATTCGATAAAATGATATGTTAGTGAATACTACTGTACTATTGCCTTCCCCCAAGAAACACAGTATATTCAAAAAAATACCAGTACAGCTTGGATCAATCATATAACCTTTCTAAGACCTAGTTTCTTCATTAGTGAAAGAGGATTAATACCTTGCAAGTTTATTTGTTCAGGATTAAAGAAACTGTATGAAATTTACAGTGTGCTAACATATAATGGATAGTAAATAAATGATGGTTATTATTAGTAATAAGAAACAAGCTGATTTGCTTGCTCCATCAGTTGGACTACTGAAGAAGTGCTCAGTTTCATATAAAACAAAAAATCCTATATAAGAGGCAGGTAGTTAAGTCCTTATCCATGAAAACATCAATCTTATAGTAAAGGTAAGGGGGTTTAAATATTTATGATGGCAATGTAACCACACCTGAATGCAAACTGGGACATTCCTAATCTAGCAGGTCTTGCCAGTAGTATTTTTTAAGGCACTGAGGCTGGGCTAGTTTAAACTTGTTTTCTCATTACAGGTATAGAAATAAGATTATTAGCAAAACAGGGATGGAGAATGTAAGGCCAGTAATAGTGAATATGAACAGAAGTTAGGACTCCATCATGGGGAAAAGCTGGATAATTAGAAAAATTAGAAAAAATGGAACAGAAGTGAAAATGAGACTGTTCAAACTAGAATATATTAGTATGAACCTGGGTATCTTATTATAAAAGCAATACTTCTGCCCCCAACCACTGTACATTAAACTGATATTTCACCAGTATCTTACATTAGTAAAAAGGGTTTTAAGTGAGATTTCTGCAAAACTATTTTTCAATATACGATAATGGATTCTTTTAAGGATAAATTTAACTACTGGATTCGTTGTATGCTGAAAAATATATGCAGCTCTTTCTATACTGAAACTTGGGTCTCACAGAATTATAAGGTTGAGAGAATAAAATGAAACACATGGCCATTGTCCTGGACCTTTCAGTATAAGCTAACAATCAATACCTTATAGAGGGAGCAAAACATTCAAGAATAAAGCCAAAAAGTTCAAGTCACTTCTATTTCTGTACTTTCTGATTCTTTCATTTTTCATAATGTTTAAGAGAGTATAAAGACTGATCCTTAGCTATATTAGAAACTCATTGTAATAGTTCATAACAGCAGAAATTAGTTTTTAAAAAGAGGAAAAGATAGATAGCCAGATGCCAAAAGGTTCTTGTCATAGTCTCTTCTAATAGATAACCCTCCAGAAAATGGGAAATCCTCACTACAACAAGGCTCTATTACAACCAACCTTTATTATCCAGTACTTTTCATGTGTATATTATAATAATAACTGATGGTCAAAAACAAGAACATCAGTTCTTCTAAATTATCAGAGATTAAACTAGTAATATATTTAATTGATGTTCCATGTCAACTATGTTTACAATATTTTGTGTGATACAATAAGTTCCTTGAAAACTCATCATCCAAGTTGGTTATTACATTCTCCTCTGTAATATGACCATTCAGTAAGTTTAGAAAACAGCAAAACAGCTCTTCTTATTATAAGTATGTGAAACAGACAAAAGTTTTTGGTTTCAGAAGATTGGTCAAACTTTCTAAACAATAAGCTTAAATATTATTTTCAAATAAAACCAGGAACAAGGATGACTATGGAAGAAAACAGAAATGATAGGACTATAAAACAAGGCAACAGAATTCTAGAGAAAGAACACAAGAAAACTGAGAAAGAAACACAGGATTCATACAGATTATGAATGTGAACATTACTTAGGATTCTCTAAACTCAAATTGAGTATATGCTAAATTTTTTCTAGTAGGCACACTTCATTTCTTGAATGTTTCCAATTAATTTCAGCAGGACTCTTAATATTATGCAGACAAGAATAGTGTACTAATGTTACCTCTTTCGGTATATTATTTGGCAAAACCAAACGAAAGTAAAAAGATCGTTCAACTTCTTTTTCCCCCGCTTTTCAAAGTATAAATATACTGGGCTGAAAAATTTCTAAGTTACTAACTAAAGAAATGCTATAAAACTATACTTTAAAATAGTATGAAGAAAACTAAAATAAGGCCAAATGGGCCTTGACCGACTGAGTATATTTAATTTCCATTATTGATAATCATCAGCATGCAAAAAAAATTCCACCATTAACATAATTGACCAGATTGTCAGCCAATAACCAAACAAAATATCAGAATTTTCTGAAAAAGTATATGAAACATTTTAAATGTTCTAGTGGCCAATGCCTCAGCCTGTACAGAAAATGTTATCACATACTTAGCCTTACTATTTTTATATTTACATTAATACTGCATATAATAGTTCTACATACACTTGACATAATATGTATTATAATAATTTATAAGAAACACTTACTGGGTAAATTTTTTGGAGGGATGGAAGGATGGGTTCAGGTAGGGCTATAAAAAGAAAAAGTTTAAAGCTTCCGTGATTCACATGATTCAATTTACAATGCAATAATTTGTCAGCTACACCCCAGGTAAGAGACTACAAGGGTTTATGCTAAAAAATTCAACAGTTTTCATATATTTCATGAAATTAACCCTAATCCCTAAACATTCAAATTTAAAATATATCAAAGTTGACAACTGAAGATTTTCTTAATAAACTATATATTCCTATGTAAACCAACATTCCTTATATGGTTTTAAAATAATAGGCTATCAGTAAAAGGATACATGTCATCTGGTCTAACATCAGACATACACACAAAATAAGCAAGACAAGGATTGTTCTACAGATACTAAACGGACATTGCTAAGATGGAAGCAGCTATCCAAAAATATATTTTTAAAAGTATAGGCCAGGCTCAGTGGCTCATGCCTGTAATCCTAGCATTCTGAGAGGCCGACATGGGCGGATCGCTTGAGCTCAGGAGTTCGAGACCAGGCTGAGCAAGAGCGAGACCTCGTCTCAAAAAAATTAAATAAATAACTAAATAACTAACTAAATAAATAAATAAAATAAAAAAGTATACTTCATTGATACTATATTATGGGAGAACAACACTTCTATCACAATTGTTATTTATTATTTAATTTCCACAATATCAAAACTGAAATAGTTCCAGGAAATTGATGTACTTCAAAAATAAAATAAATAAAATAAAACAGAATAAAAGAAAATCTTCAACTTCATTAATACATTTTTTAAAAGAAAACCTCAGTAAAAGTTAGAAATCAAAATCAGGAGATTTGCACCAATCTGCTATAAAATAAAATTTCACACAAAGCAATCATTATCCTCATGTTACCACTGTATTTTTTGTCATTCTTCACTATTCAATAGTTTTAAACAAATCCAATCTCATTAAATGCATTAGCAGTGATTTCACATCACTATAATGTAAGTGGAATAATATAAAAAAGCAAAGTGTCTAATATTCATAAGAACTATAAAATATGATGTACTAAGTATGGTAAAATGCAAGTAATATTTTCAAGATTTCTTTAGTGTTAGAGAAACCAAATGTATTACAATATGATATGCTTTGTATTTAAGAATTAGAAACACATTATATATAACTAAATAAACTCGATAACAAAGAATATTTAATTCACTTTTAATCTGCTATTTGGCAAAAACTTTTAAAGTGACTTCTGGAATACATCCATGTACATGTAATCAACCATTATGACCAACTTACATGGTCTCCAACTATAATTACAAGGGTATAAATTCCTATCACTTAGTATAAAGTAGGATGCTTTATTTAAATTTCCCTTCTGTTTCAAGCTTCATCCCCAAGTTGAAAGCTGGAATAAAATAAAGTTCTGTGACAGCCTGTACATTTTCAGTATATGACTAAAAATATTAGAAAGAAAAAACTCACTCATTACTTACCAGAATCACTCTTAGGAAGTAAGATATATTTCTACCCTCTGACCCCAGACATTTAAATGCTCAAAATTCCAGAAGACACTCCAAGTAAACTCAAGCCCCAGTCACTTTAATTCTAAATGTCTCTACATTTTATTAACACTTTTTAATGGCTTTCTTATAGTTTTAGCTTTAATACAGAAGTCAAACTGGAAAATCTTATTAGAAATTAGTTTACTTAAAAATCTGAATTTCTTTCCCATTGAATACTCCAGTAAATTAAAATTACAATAAAAGGATTAATAAAGATTATAGAGAATTAGAATAAAGAAATTTTAGCTCATTCTAAAAGGATAACTAGAATGCTAGGAGAGAAAAACAAATACTAACCACTTGTTAAGGATTTTTCAACGGACAAAAAAGCCTTTCTAGAACTAAGCAATTTGGAAGCTTGGAAGCAGGGATATTATTCAGTAAATTCTTTGTCTTACAACCTTCAAGCTTTCTAAACACTAGTCATTAGAGAAACAATTAGTGTACTATGGCAGTTATTATTAACACTGTCCTGAAATTAATCTCAAAGAGGTCAATAATTTAAATGTTTATCTTTCTTCAAAGCAATATAAATTCTAAAACAATCTGGCTATATCACGTATTCTGACTTCAGAGTTTTGGACCATAGGTTTAATTTTAAGTTTCTCTCTCAAAAGCAAAATAAGTGGGGGGAAGGAGAAAAGAAACAAAGAAAGAAAGAGAACTCATTATTCCAGTAATGCCTCAAGTATAGCTAATCTATCAAGATTTTACTTTGCTTGCAGTTCAGATGAAGACTTGATGATCAGGAACTCACAAATTCATACCCATAAACTTTTTATACTGATTTATCAAAAATTCAACTATTAAAAAAGCAGATTGGCTGGGAGCAGTAGCTGATGCCCATAATCCTAGCACTCTGGGAGGCCGAGGTGGGAGGATAGCTTAAGGTCAGGAGTTCCAGACCAGTCTGAGCAATAGCAAGACCCCATCTCTACAAAAAATAAAAAATATAGCTGGGCATGGTGGCGCACACCTATAGTCTCAGCTACCCAGGAGGCTGAGGCAGGAGGATTACTCGGCCCAGGAGTCTGAGATTGCAGTGAGCTATGATGACACCACTCCACTCTAGCTACGGTGACAGAGCAAGACGACTGTCTCCAAAACAAAAACAAAACAAAAAAGCTGATTTTCAATAGTACTAAGCAACCATTAATTTTGAAAATGCAAGGACAATTTTAAAAGGCATACCAGACAGTTCTGTACCTGGGAATATGGTAAATATTCCACAAATGTTCATTAATGTTATTATTTCTAACCAATGGATAATTTTGCCTTTATCATTAACTCTTAATCTTAGAGTGTCATTAAAATCTCTTCTCAATAGGTTTTTCCCCTCATGCTTTGATCAGCCATCTTTTCAAGTACATGTAGTCTATTACTGACTATTAAAATTTATTTCAGGAAATGCCTTAATCTTTTTAACCTTTCTACACATAGAGTCCCTGTTTCCTACCTCTGTTCATGGCAGAAAAGATATTAAAGCATTTCCTAAGTTAAATAAAAACTTAAAGGTCATTTAATCCAACTGTTTATGTTACAGATGAGAATATTAAGATCACAGAGGCACAAATAACATGATCCAAATCACAAAAACTAGTTGTTTATGACAGAGCTGGAACTGCTCAATACACTTTGCAGGCTCTGTATGTCCTTTCCCCTCATAGTAATGTGATACTGCCAAGAAAAGCAACTACCTATTTTAATCACTCTAATTTCTTCTAGGGAGGAGTAGCTTTAATATGCCAGTATAGAGTTACATATTAGCTCTAGGTAGCTTGACGTCCTTCAAGACAGAGCTAGGAACGGCTGATTACAGTGTCATTAGTTACAAACCACCTCAGTAAATGGGACCACATTGTCAAAAATATGTTTAACAAAATCTAAACCAAATTTTAACAAGATTTCATTACACTGGCAAAATACTAATGTTTAAAATTTTAATTTGCTTGCAAAACCATGCAGGGGCACTTGTGATTAAAGTACATTTTTCTAAAGAAGTCAATCAAATTAAAGTTTTAATGTAACCGGTAAGAATGGAGAAATAGGGCACATATTCTGGATGTTTATGTGTGTTAAATGCTTTAGTCAAATCTAATTTTTAAATCACTACTAAAACTATGAATAGTCACTGATTGAATGGTGGTATATGGATGCTATATTAGTCTTTATATTTTATATATATTTTAGAAATTCTTATCTATTCAATTTTTAATAAAAGTGAACTGCAATACACAAGAGGACAAAGTTCACTTTTAAAAAACCAAATGTAATATATGTTTCAGATTGAACTGTAAAACTGGACAAAAAATGATTAGTGACATATAAAGTAGTATCTAAAACAGTCAGTCATATGTTTCAAATCCTTTTAGAGGAGCAAATAGATCACCAAACCAGAATATATCAAGACTGGTCAGCAATAAAAAAATACATGTGTTAAGATTAGCTTAAAATATTTTAACAATGAAGAGGAAAATTATATTAAACCTCTGATGACTGATTAATAAAATGCTGGTCCATTTAAATTATTTCAAGTCTCTCTTGATAAGTCAAAACAATTCATTTGATTCTATCATTCAAAAGTAAATATACTTCTTATTTACTATATACTATAAAACATCTACAAGTATAAAGAAAACAAATCCAACTGTTCATAAATAACCCCTGCTAAAATTCTGGCACATACCTTTTCAGTATTTGTAAACATATAAACATAAACAACACATAGTTACTATTTTTAAATAAAATTAGCATCATGGT